TTTTTTTTTACAAAGTGTATATGCTTTAGGTGCAAAGAAGATTACTGAGCGATGATGGTGTTGGCCTGGACGAGCCTCTAAATGAAACAGCGTTTGGCACTGGCGTCGTCATCAAAGGTAAACATACTTTGGTAGTTGGTAGTCTCGCAGAAAAAGATGAATTGGTACTACGAGAAAAAGTTGAGTTTACCTCTCAGCCATGGATATTTTTTACTCCTACGTCACGTACGTTTCATGAGTGGAGTAAGCTTTACAAAATGAAGGTTGTTACGCTTTTCCCTGTAAATTAAACGATTTAGTTTTTTTTTTCTTTGTTTTCAACGATTATTTTAGGCCAGTGGTTTGAATAAAACTTTACCGAAAAACGTTCGAATTCTAACTTTGGAGCCTTGGAGAGATGGAGAAATCTTATTTCGACTTGAACATATTTTCGAAGTTGGAGAAACCTCAAAATATTCTATTGCCGTCGAAATAGATCTTAAAGTAACGTATTTTTTAAAATTCTATTCTGTGGATTTCTTGTGAAATGACATTTTTATTTTTTATTTTTACATCGGTAGGACCTATTTTCTGGCTTTACCATAATTTGCATTGAAGAAATGACGCTTGGTGCTAATCGACATTTAAATCCAACAGATTCAAAAAAGCTCAAGTGGTTTTGGGATGGTGATAATGATAACAAAGCAGCGCATAATTTTTCTGGATCCATAAATTCCACGCTCATAAAATTGAATCCCATGCAGATACGGACATTTATTCTTAAAATTTCGCACCTAAAGTTTACATAAAAAAAAACATGAAAAAGTGATGTTGGCTTGGTGGAATATCATTTCTTAACTGTAATTCGATTAAAAAATTAAATTTAAAGTGATTCGTATAACGCGTTATTGATTCTTTGGCACAAGCATTCGACATAATCGATAAGTGCAAGTTTTTAGGATGTTATTAATAATTTCGACATGAATTTCAAAAATATGCTTTTCAAAAGGTGACGCTACCTATACAACGTACATGTTGTTTAGTTCCTGTTTAGATGCATCCAGATTTCAAGCAGGAAAATTATCAAGGCTTGAACTCTGTCTGAAATTAAAATAATTAACTGATAAAGATGGTACACGTGAGGTGTTGTAGTTTGGTGGACGTGATAAGTATTTGACATGAAATACATGATGCCTTACACAAAAATGTCGGATGCATTATATAAGTTAGTTATGAACACAGGAACAGGTATTTGTATCATTATGCCAATGCATAGAGTATTTTTACCTTAGTTTTAAGAAAGATGGAGTTCTTCGTTTTTAGTAGAAGCAAAATACAATTGCTTATTGGCATCGGAGCGATTGTCACGGTTATAATCATCGGATTATTAATTTGGACAACAATACCCAACGAAAAATCGCAGAAACTTAAATGTGGATATGAAGTCGGTATTCTTATGTAATTACTTACGAAATTATTAATTAGTTTTGTTTTCATTTAAGGCTTGCCCGAAAAGTCACCCAAATAAACTGAATATACATTTAGTGTCTCATTCTCACGCTGAAGTGGGCTGGTTGTACTTAACCTACGATGTAATATACAACAAATGTAAGATATAAATAAAAGTTGCGCATACTATGTAAATGTTATTGATTATTCATCTATACAGGAAGGAAAATTAAATGTAATATCACAAGTGGCATATTTTATGAAAAACATGTCTTTACCTCACATTAAGCGTGAAGTACTCCTCCCTTTTGCTAGCGAGTAAAAAAAGAATAATTTTAATTTCAGGGGTGCAATACGTGATCGACAATGTCATTGAATCGCTCCTAAAAAATCCAGAAAGAAGGTATTTTCAAATCAATATTTTAACAACTAATATGTATACCATTACATCATACTGACGATCTCAGCGAAAATTATTTCAACGAATGAAAAATAACAACCGATAATGAGAGTTGTAAAGTCCGTATTTGAGACAAGTAATAAAATGTCATAAGTTACATAATTTTTGATCATCAGTTGTTATTATTACATATATTTTTTTTCAACGCCAATGTTATTGTAGAAACATAGAAAATAGTAGTAAATGGAAAGAACTTTTATTGTTAATTATCGCTTGGGGATGATGACAAATCGATTTGTAATTAGATTCGCGTTTGCCGAAATGGCGATGCTATGGAAGTGGTGGAAAAATCGAAACGACACTATGAAAGAAAAGTTAAAAATGTTGGTCAACGAAGGACGATTCGAAATAGTTGGTGGTGGTTGGAGTATGAACGACGAGGCTACCACAAATTACCAATCACTGATTGATCAATACACTTGGGGCTTCAGGTATACTTACACTTGGATTGAATGATTTATTATTGCGATTAATATAAACTTATTTACCTTTAAAGGCGAATAAATGACTCCTTTGGTTCTTGTGGGCGACCTCGAGTCGGGTGGCAAGTTGACCCTTTCGGCCACTCTCGCGAACAAGCTTCCATTTTCGCTCGAATGGGTTTTGACGGAATGTTCGTCGGTCGAATCGATTACGTGTACAAGTGGGCCCGCTTGTGGAATAAAACTGCCGAATTCATCTGGAAAGGCAGTGATAGTCTAGGTATGTGGTTTACTTTCATTCCCAGAGGGAAAGTACAATTTTCACTTCCGGCTACTTGCACCGGAAAAGTGAAGTCGTACTTTTTTCTTGTACGGCTGTTTGCAATGTTTAGCATAAGTACCTCCGTCGAAAACTCATTTTCTTTCTGATTTTAGAATTGAAAGGACGACGTAATTTTCTATACATAAAAGTCCTATGTATTGTCTATAAAAGATTATAAGACTGTTTTTTTTTTCCACGTAGAGTGCAACATAAGTACTTTTAAAAAGTACGATTTTTTTTTGATACGGGTTTTCATGTATACATCAAAAAATCTAAAATCAAAGAAGATAATTTTTTTCAACATAAGTATGGAAATGAAAAAATTTTTATTTCAATGAAAAACCAGAATTGATGAGAATAAAAATGAATTTCAGGTAAATCTGCCAATCTATTTACGATGATTTTGTACTACCGTTTTTTCACCCCACCTGGTTTTTGTTTTGATACTTTCTGCGGCAATCGCGTGCCCATCATCGATGACCCAAACAACGTAAATTACAACGTACAGGACAGAGTAAGCGAAAATTTTCCATGCCATCACTTGAACGTTTCCTCGTCAAACAGTAATTTAAAAAATAAATAAAAGATAAATGTATAAGATTATCATAGACAATAGAAAATTTATCATTACTTGTATAAACGTCTTATAACTAGATAAATTTGTAAGATTAAATTATTAATGAGAAATTGTCAGTTACTTCCATGCATGATCTCCGGTCCAGTGACTCCAACTGTCGCTAGTGGTGTTGCTCTTTCAAACTGTTACACAGTCCGAATGAATTGTAATACTTTAACATTCGTGTTTTAGGGCCTTTGGTTGAAGAAATTCATCACGTCATCAACAACTGGGTCAGCCAGATAATCAGAATTTACAGTGGTTCCGATCACATAGAGTTCGATTGGCTCGTAGGACCCGTTCCCGTGGAGTAATTGCAAAAATCACATTATTGTCCCGNTATACACATTGAGCGGCGCAAAAGAGCGGAGAGCTTTTTTTTATCAGGCGCTACGCGTATAAGGTTGAGAGGGGCGTCGACGGGCTTGTTTATTTTTTCTTCCCCCGTCTTGTGCGAGGGACGCGGAGAGTGTCGCTTTGCTCCTTCAATATACATAATCATTTATATTTTCATCTCGTTTAATTGCGACCGATGATTTTTTTGGGAAAAAAAACAACGGCACGCTATCGATTGTCCATAGTTTAATTAATTAAATTAGTTAACTTCGGTCCGTGGGGAGCTGGGAAAGCGTTGGGTGTGTGTGTGTGTTTAATTACACACATTGATGTACCCCTCGCACGCGACGATACCTATACTCCCCGTCGTCGTCGTCGTCGTATTTTCAATGCTCCGGTATAAGCGAAATCCACCGATGCACCGGTACCTACATGATGACTCACCGTCCGATTCATCTCCACGGCCTCCGCGAATCCCCTCTTTTCGACAACGGCAGCCCTTTGCTTATACGTTCAGCGCCAGCGTGTGTTGCATTTTTAAGTATACCGAGCTGGAGTACTCGGAGTATACGGAGCTTTTGCAAGCGCAACAGCTGCATACATATATATATATATATATATATATATATATATATACCGATTCGCCGATCGCGTGGTTTTGGGCACGTGTTGCGACATACTCGAGCGAAACCGATCGTATACGTTAATCATTTTTTATTTAAAATTCGTCTTTTTCAATGGAAATCAGCTTTAAACATCCCTTTCCTGAGATAGAGATGCATGTACCTATGATGATTCTCGTCGTATGCTTTCCTCACCCCATACGTATAGCTATATAGATCAAAACTCTTGAAAGCCATTGCCTATGTGTGTGTGTGTACACGAGTGCCGAATCGGCATCAATATACTGTATCGGGAATGCAAAATGTAACATGCACCACCTCCCTCTCCCCGATATTGAAAATTGCATCCTCTTCGTCCTTCCTGAATAATTCAAGGTCCCCTGACCCAGCTTCTCCCAAAATCGTGGAAAGGAGGTGGACAAAAAAAAAACACTTGTTTTCCTCCGTCTAAGAGGAAAAAAAACAAACTCCATAGGTAAAATACGTCCCTGCGATAATATACTATACTATACATATATCCAAGCGTGCATGGCACACGCGCTCATGTATCTCATGCTCGCGCTCTACCGATCAATATAAGGTATATGGTACTCCGTAACAAGTGCGAGGGTGTGTGTGCATGACGCGGCGGCTTTACTACGCCACTTTTTTTTTTTTTTTCGGGGAGGGTAGCTAGCTGTATAGGCTAGCTATGTCTTATCTGGAGGGGCCGACCTTGGCGAGTTTACTTGGGGCGGGATCGAGTTTGGGTTGGCCACTTGTTTACCTCTCGTGTTTTTTTTTTTTTGTTTTTTTTTTCATCTTTTATTTCAAGTCGATCGTCTGCAACTTTTATCTCGTTCGAGCTTGCGACAGTTGAACCGGCACTCGATTAATTTATCCAGCGTTACTTATTTATGTCAACTATTGTTAAAAAAAAAAAAAAAAAAAAAAAAAAAAAAAATTCACGGACCATCATTGTTTGTTGACGCGCACCTCACGCGTGTACTCGAGCACGCCCACGCGGTTATATACCGTCGA